TACGTAGAGTGAGATTTGCTGGTATGGGGTTCCAACATCGGCAAAAGCTAATTTAGGATTGAAATAATTCAGGCCTAAAAGGCAATTTAGCCATAGACAGGCACTTTCTGGGACACTCTGTCAGAGTCTGCCCGCATTCAAATAGCTACAGTGCCTTCAGTAAGTATTCATACCCCTTGACTTATTCCACATTTTGTTGTGTTACAGCCAGAATTCAAAATGGATTCAATATATATTTTTCTTCTTCTCACTAATACCCCATAATGACAAAGTGAAAACATGTTTTTAGAAATGTTTGCAAATGTATTGAAAATTAAATAGAGAAATATCTAATTTACATAAGTATTCAAATACCTGAGTCAATGCTTAGTAGAAGCACCTTTGGTGGCGATTACAGCTTTGCGTCGTCTTGGGTACGTCTGTATAATCTTTGCACATCTGGATTTGGGGATTTTCTCCCATTCTTCCTTGCAGATTTTCTCAAGCTCTGTTAAATTAGATGGGGAGTGGTGGTGAACAGCAATCTTCAAGTCTTTCCACAGATTTTCAATGGGATTCAAGTCTGGGCTTTGGCTGGGCCACTCAAGGACTTTCACATTCTTATTCTGAAGCCATTCCAGCGTTGCTTTGGCTGTATGCTTGGGGTCATTGTCCTGTTGGAAAGTAAATTCTCACCCCAGTCTAAGGTTATTTGCACTCTAAAGCAGGTTCTCATCAAGGATTTGCCTATATTTGGCTCCATTCATTGTTCCCTCTATCCTTCCCAGTCTCCCAGTCCCTGCCACTGAAAAGCATCCCCATAGCATGATGCTGCCACCACCATGCTTCACGGTAGGGATGGTGTTAGATGGGTGATGAGCTGTGCCTGGTTTTCTCCAGACATAGCGCTTTGCATTCAGGCCAAAGAGCTACATTTTTGTCTTATCAGACCACAATCTTTTGCCTTATGCTCTGAATCGTCCATGTGCCTTTTTGCAAATTCCAGGCATGCTGTCATGTGCCTTTTTCTCAGGAGTAGCTTCTGTCTGGCCACTCTCCCATAAAGTCCAGATTGGTGAAGAGCTGTAGACTGTTGTCCATCTGGCAGGTTCTCCCATCTCAGCCAAGGAAGTTCTGTCAGAGTGGTCATTGGGACCTTGGTCACCTCCCTGACCATGATCCTCCATCCCCGTTGATCAGTTTGGTCGGACGGCAAGCTCTAGGTAGAGTCTGGGTACTTCCATATTTTTTCCATTTCCACTTTCAACAAAAAAAATGATATGCTTCCCCAGATATATACCTCATCACAATTCTATCTCAGTGATCTACAGACAGTTTCTTGGACTTCATGGTATAGTTTCTGCTCTAATATGCACACCAACTGTGGGACCTTATATAGACAGGTGTGTTTCTTTTTAAATCATGTCCAAACAATTGAATTGGCCACAGGTGGACTCCAATCGAGTTGTAGCGACATCAAGGATGATCAAAGGAAATTGGATGCACCTGAGCTCAATTTGGAGTGTCATAGCAAATTTCATTTTCAATACATTTGCTACAAATTCTAAAAACATGTTTTCACTTTCATTATGGGGTATTGTGTGTAGATGGGTGAGAGAAAAAATATTTTGAATCTATTTTGAATTTAGGCTGTAACACAACAAAATGTGGAAAAAGTCAAGGGGTATGAATACTTTCTAAAGGCACTGTAGGTACTCTACAGGCACCACTGTAACCAACCCAGTCAAGGGCCAAAACTCAAACAAATAACATCTAATGTGGTTTTCCTGTGGTCACTGTGAGTAAAAACCATCTGTAGTGTTTCATCCACCAGACTATAGGTCTGTAAAGTCTGTGAAGAGAATGATTGGAAACCATCCATTTCCTCCTAAATCTCTATGACAAGTCTGCTGGTGTAAACGCCTCCTTCTTTAAGTGTATATAAACATTCTCGATGGAAAATTGGCACACGTCAACACACGGTGTCAATGCTCAGGGTATTTCTGAGTTGACTTGTTTTCAGGTGCGTCGAATAGGGTCGATTATCATTATCACAGTTCTGAGAACATTCCATTGCTATTTTTCTTGGAAATGTCAATTCCCAAGCTGAATCGAAAAATGTAAATGAATGCGGGGTCATTTCCACAACAGTCTCCAGATGTACAGTATCTAGGTCCCGTCACCCCGCCAATTTAAACACCACAGTTCCTACTGACTCTAGGTGCACCTCAGGAGGTCACACTTCACTTTCCTCATGCTTAACTACCAAAACCTGATGTGCTGACAGAACGTTTGCAGGGTGTTAAAGATAGAATAACATGAATAAAACAACTTCTCATTTAACACCACCACACATTGAAAGCCAATTAACAGAAGGAAAAATCGTTTTCAACTATAAAAATAAAAAAACATTGCGAGAACCACAGCCAAATAAAGCAACCAATCTATAGCTAATGTAGCACTAGATGTCAGTGGTGATGTATTGGGCTGTGAGGGAAATGCTAATTTCAGATGATGACATTTCGCTCTCCAATATTTAATCTAGACATGTGAAAGTAGCGTCATCCAACTAAGTCCCTCTTCCCTAGGACACGGTGAAGAGCTTGACAGATGCCAAACACCAGAGAAATTAGCACTTCGACTTGATACAAGCTAATGTGTTAAATAGATGAAACCGGTCAACAGGGCTGTCGGCTTCCTCAGCCAGAGGATGAAAAATGTAATTGTTTACCGGACCGGTTCGTTGAACAAAGAGGAAATTACGTCACACAGAATTAGGTAGGGTCTTTATTCATTTAATTTATTAAGATGCTACATAGTCCATCAAGGTTAGACACCATCGACTGACTACTTGACTAGGAATAGTTCTTAGACTTATTTATATACATACAAAACAGTTGCTGACTGCTTACATGGATTACGATGGTGGACAGGTCAATTTTAGTGTTTTCACAACCCTTGGTACAGGGTAGCTCAGCTCAGACCTGTTCTGCCCTCCCTCTAAGCAGAGTCATCCTTCACTCACATGTAGATACAGTATGTTACGCTCTCCCTCTCTCTTTCCTCAACTCCATACCTCCATCTGCAAGTTATTCTTCTTTTATCCATAATATGCGACAGTGAGATGAAAGAAATTGAGTGTATGGCATTTTTGACATGAATCCCGTTAAGAAAAAAGCAAACAAAAACAGTAGAGACAGACACAAAAGGTAGTCACAGAATGGTCCCTTCAGGATATAGCTTTTGTATGGTTTTGTTTTTGTCATGAGTTAAACGCAGAGACACGTCAACTAACAAAACAGTTACATCGATAGATACTGGGAAAAAACATTCTTGAGAATATAGTGCATTAAAATGAACATGACTTCAGTGCAGTGAAAACAGCCAATGCGAAACAAACAAACAAACATCAAAACTTATAGATGCTGACCGTAGCGGGTCGAACGACGATGACCATACAGTTGGAGAAATGATCTTTAAGAGTTAAGTTGACATTCACAGCATGGTGAATGGACAGCATAAACCATTCAAATGATGATTTGCTTACATTTGCCTGACAGATCAACCAATGTACGGCATAGAGAAGAACCAAAAAACAGACAAACCAACAGCAGTATTATTGTGGAGGTAAACCTCAGCAAAACTCACTTCTACATGCACCTTTCCTTCCTTCCTTAATTCCTTCCTTAATTCCTTCCTTCCTTCCTTCCTTCCTTCCTTAATTCCTTCCTTCCTTCCTTCCTTCCTTCCTTCCTTCCTTCCTTCCCTCCCTCCCTCCCTCCCTCCCTCCCTCCCTTTCCTTCCTTCCTCCCTCCCTCCCTCCCTTTCCTCCTTTCCTTTCCTCCCTCCCTCCTCCCTCCCTCCCTCCCCTCCTTTCCTTTCCTCCCTTCCTCCCCTCTTTCCTTCCTCCCACCCTCCCTCCCCTCTTTCCTTCCTCCCACCCTCCCTCTCGTCCTACCTTCCTTGCAGAATAACTTGCCAATAGCAGTCACAGGTCAAACATCCAGTAAGTAGTTTATTCAGTGACTCATTCCCAACCCATCCAGAGTTCATTTAGCTGCATTAATTTTTTAATAATGCCTCACTCCCTAAAACAAAAATCCCTTCAAAATCACAAAACAATTTAAATTAAATAAAGAAGGAAAAAAATATGAAGATAGAGTTGTGCAAACCTACGGCTGAAAAGAAACATCACAATGATGAAAGCAATTCAATTAAATGAAAAAATGTCCCAAAAAATTCAATGCTCTTTTGTGGACGCATGCAATCAAGAATATACTGCCAACTCGTATATTCGTGATCAAAAGGTGAGGGGGGAAATGTTCTAGCTTGGAAAAAACAGAGAATGGGGGTGCAGGGGGAGAGGGGCGGGTTGTTGTGTCGATTAAGGATGTTCCCCAATCACAGAGGAGCCGGTCTATACAAAGCCTCTGATTGGAGGAGTCAGTTTGGTTGACAGTAGCCCTGTGCATAACCTCGTCTACTCTCTGAAGCCTCTCTGTCAATCATGTTCTAAAGGAGGTGAGCCAAAAAGAGTGCTCCCCTCCTGGCATTACATTACTGTAGGGTTACAGTGGATTCTTTACACAGAGTATGCCCACGGCCTCTGGCCTCTTGTGAAAAGAAACAACAATCCTTGAAAACGACATTCACACAACGCAAACTGACTCAATCGCACCCCCCAGTGTTTAGAAAATCCTTAGCTTCAAATGACTATCAATGATCTGCATTTTACGCCTTCTTACTGGTCATATTGTACCTGTGGTGTAGGCCAGAATGATTATGTTATGATTAAAGAGATCTTGTAACAAGTTTTTTTTTTTCTCTCTCGTTGGTTTGTTCATAACATTTTTATTTGGATCTTCTTTTTTTATTTGTACATAAATTAACGATTTCAAAACTACCCCCACTGATATGGAATAATTAAAAAAAAGAATAATAAAAAAAAAAGATTTCCAAAATCCGTTTGTTTCAATCCCCCGAAAGCATGCGGTTGGCCGTCTCTCGCTAGCCGCTCGCTCTTACAAGACCAACTTGCCGATGATGACTCCGACCACGAAGAAGAGCACGATGAGTGCCACCGTGCGCAGGCTAAGACCCTCCTCCTTCACCATGGACTGGGAGGAGTGCTGGGAGGAGGACAACACATTGCTCTTCCTCATCCGCAGGCCATCATCTTCCTGGAGGGGGGGGGGAGAAACAGAAAGAGAGGGAGAGAAGGAGAAAGATGAGATAGGAAGAATGAGAGAGAGAGGGATAGAGGGGGGAGAGAGAGAGAGAGGGTGGAGACAGATAGATATGGAGAAACAGAAAGAGAAAGAGAGAGAGAGAGGGGGGAGAGAGAAAGTGAGAGAGAGAGGGATAGAGGGGGGAGAGGGATAGATATGGAGAAATAGAGTGAGCGAGAGAGAGAGAGAGAGAGAGAGAGAGAGAGCAAGCGAGAGAGAGAGATAGAGGGATAGAGGGGGGAGAGGGATAGATATGGAGAAATAGAGAGAGCAAGAGAGAGAGAGCAAGCGAGAGAGAGAGATATTGGGATAGAGGGGGGAGAGAGGGATAGATATGGAGAAATAAAGCGAATAAAAATTGAAATAGAGAGAAAGAGGGGGGGAAATGACCATCAGTATTATCCACAACCCTCAGTCAAAGATAGGTAATGTCATTCATTCACTCATTCATTCAAAGGGGATGTCTAAATCTCCACCGAATCCCCTTGAGACTCCGCCAGGCACCATCTTTTAACACACTTAACTTCCCAACAGTGGGTGGGGGGCTCTGTTAGTGCAATCTGGACCCCCGGACTGGAGCGGCCAAGAGCCATTCCGCCTCTGGCATTACTTAAAGGGGAGGTGACGGGCTGTGCTGCTCCTGAGTCTGACTCATTGCCTTTCCCCTTTAAAAGGGGCCATCTGGGGCTGCTACTTCCATTTGTTTTACTTTTAAATTAATGAGATATAGCCATTGATTGAGTCCTTTAAAATGAATGATATACACTGAGTGTACAAAAGATTAGGAACACCTTCCTAATATTGAGTTGCACCCCCTTTTGCCCTCAGAACAGCCTCAAATCGTCAGTGCATGGACCCTACAAGGTGTCGAAAGCATTCCAAAGGGATGCTGGCCCATGTTGACTCCAATGTTTCCCACAGTTGTGTCAAGTTGGCTGGATGTCGTTAGGGTGGTGGACCACACATACTCAATCCATGTCTCAGTTGTCTCAAGGCTTAAAAATCCTTCTTTAACCTGTCTCCTCCCCTTCATCTACACTGATTGAAGTGGATTTAACAAGTGACATGAATAAGGGTTCATAGCTTTCACCTGGATTCACCTGGTCAGACTATGCCATGTAAAGAGCAGGTGTTCTTAATGTTTTGTACACTCAGTGTATAAAGTCATTGATTGAATCCCAGATGTCCCCTTAAAGTGCTCCTTGGTTCTTACCCTGATCTGTTTGTTCTCTTCCCGTAGCCGCTGTGCCTCCATCTGCAGCCTCTTACACTCCTCCATGATCTTCTTTACCTCGCCGTCATCCAGGGTGGAGCTCATGGATTTCATGGACAGTGTGGAGGACTCTGACTTGAGCAGGTTGGACGACGTCATCTTGTTGGCATCCAGGTCCTGGTGCTGTGGGGTGAAGGGTGGGAAGAGGGAGGGTTTAGGTTTATTTCAACATCTTGGTACATATGCAGAAATATACCTCAAATGTAATGTCAAAATAGGGAATCAATATGGAGAAAGTGAATGTTGGTAACTTTTTCTGCTGCAAGCCTGGCTGGTAGTGATTACAGTCATGTCGTACACAAAGAGAGAGAGAGAGAGAGGCAGGCGAGTACACATGTACATGAGAGCGCTCTCTCTCTCGCACGCACGCACGCACGCACGCACGCACGCACGCACGCACGCACGCACGCACGCACGCACGCACGCACACACACACACACACACACACACCCCAAAGCTTCCAAAAAGAGATGCAAAAGCTGCTTTTCATTTTCATTCCAAACAATGTGGCACGACGATGCTGCTGCCCCCAGGCATGTATCTCGCTGTTCATAATCCACAAAAACAACAACGGCCCATTTTCCCCGTGGCTTTGTTTATGGGGCTCATATTTTCTGCTCATCCCAGGGGGAAGTGATCTTCTACCAGCTGTGTGTGGTTTGCAGAGTAATCACAACAATAATAAACTTGGTGTGAAAAGTGAGAGCGTGGCTCAGGGAACTATGGTTATGGTTGGGGCTATGGCTGGGGCTATGGTTGGGGCTATGGCTGGGGCTGGGGCTATGGCTGGGGCTATGGCTGGGGCTATGGCTGGGGCTATGGCTGGGGCTGGGGCTATGGCTGGGGCTATGGTTGGGGCTATGGTTGGGGCTATGGCTGGGGTTGGGGCTATGGCTGGGGCTGGGGCTATGGTTGGGGCTATGGTTGGGGCTATGGCTGGGGCTATGGCTGGGGCTATGGCTGGGGCTAACGCCATGCTCTATCAACTGAGCTACATCCCTGCCGGCCATTCCCTCCCCTACCCTGGACGACGCTGGGCCAATTGTGCGCCGCCCCTGAGTCTCCCGGTCGCGGCCGGCTGCGACAGAGCCTGGATTCGAACCAGGATCTCTAGTGGCACAGTCCCTTGGGAAACCCAACTACTGAACCATCCAATGATGAGATTTTTTTATAAATTATCTGGGCTCCCAAAAAGACTGATCTCTATAATATATAAACAACTTTTGGAAAGATCTTATTCTCTCTGACATAGCTAATAATAATAATAATAATATGCCATTTAGCAGACGCTTTTATCCAAAGCGACTTACAGTCATGCGTGCATACATTTTATTATTATTTCTGTGTATGGGTGGTCCCGGGGATCGAACCGACTACCTTGGCGTTACAAGCGCTGTGCTCTACCAGCTGAGCTACAGAGGATTAGCTAGAAGGAAAGTATGGTACACAGATCTAATTGAATCTGAATAATCCTTTAACTGGAACAGACCATGGAAAAATATGACCTTGGCATCCCGTAATCCGAACCATCAACTTATACATTTTCAGTTTGTTCACAGACTGTATTTAACACCAAGGAAACGTTTTACAATGAAATTAGCCCCAACTCCCGACTGTTCACTATGTCCCCTAAATCAGGTAGGCATATTCCTTCATATGATGTGGGAGTGCCCTGCAGTTAAATGATTCTGGGACAAAGTTACAAAATTCATTTCAAAATTACTGCTGGCAAAATGTTGGTTCTAAGATGGCAACCACCTAACTCTCTCCCATTTAACTAGTGGATACAGTTACTATTATAAGTTATCTCTGGACGTTGTGGTGGGAGGGCGGGGGGATTGGGGGGAATGTAAGGGGAGACTCAGGAGATGGATGGGTGGGAGGGGGACTGACAAGCAACCTTGGTTACTGGGTGGGATGGGATGCTTTCTTCGGGTCGGGGAGTGAGGATGCAGGCGGATGGATGGGGACTGAGGGGGGGAATGGGTCGGGGTTATCTTTGTATGCATTTCTCTGAGTGTTTCGTTTTTGTGGCTGAATTATGAATATATCTGAATGCTTATGACTTCGAATTTTATACCTGTACCTATAACCCCCCTTCTGAAAACTAAATAAAACGTTTGTCACAAAACCCCCCCCTGTGGTTATGAATTAGAGAGGGCAGTCCTTAAGCACAGACGGAGGATATCAAGGATCCGGAAGGGGAATGGTCTAAGATCCCTCCCAATGTGTTCTCCAACTCATAAAACATTTTAGAGAAAGGCTCAGTGCTGTTATCCTCGCAAAGGTTGAGGTATTGAAAGGTATTGAAAACAGGGGTGTCAATAATTTTGACCCCTACCTTTTTGAGAGAAAATAATATCTTTATATAATAAAAAGTAATATTTTTCTCTCTTTCTCTGAGAGATTGTATTAGTATAAAATATTATTAAATTCCCCATTTATTTGAGGGTACAATATAAATGAATTATTTATTTTACACTAATTTTTGCTAATCTTTATCAAGGCTGTCAATCATTTCGGACACCACTGTATAAACATTGCAAGAGAGAGACTAATCAACACACCGTTTTCTCATTCCCCGCCGGCAGCTCAAAGACACACCTCAGCTTGGAGTCCATCAGCTCCTCTGGCTTTGCCTCCTTCCACTGCAGAGAGAGAGAGAGGAGAGATGAGAGATGAGAGATGAGAGAGGAGAGAGGAGAGAGGAGAGAGGAGAGAGAGAGAGAGAGAGAGAGAGAAGAGAGAAGAGAGAGAAAGACCACAGCCAAGAATTGGTTTACCGGTAGTGAGATTTGTTTCCCATTGTCCCCCCTCCCCCCTCCCCCTCTGTAATCCGAAGGTTAGCAATGCTAACAAATACATGAACAATTACACTGGGGATTGTTAGCTAAATGCTAATGAGCACATGCAAACATTTTATATGGGACAGACATCCCAGCTCAAAGTTAAACAAGTAACAGAAAAATGCTATTCAGTTTGCTGCACGCAGTTTGCTGCACGCTGTTACCAAGAAAAGCTTGATTTTGCAAGAAGCTTACCACTTAGATAACTAGCTACTAAGTTAGCAAACCAAATGCACAACTGCAATTTAGACAGTTAACTTAATAGTTATAAGATATCTAGCTGGCAAATATTTAGTTGTGAAGTGTTACCAGATCCTCGCATGCTGCACGACAGTGAGAGTGGCTCACGAGCAGGGTCGGGGTCAATTCCATTGAGATTCCAGTCAATTCAGGAAGTACACTGAAATTCAAACTCCAATTTGTAATTTGGTTTATTTCCTGAATTGACTGGAACTGAAATGGTAAAAAGTGACTGGTAGTAGGATATACATGTAAACAGGGCTGAAAAGTGACTAGCAGCAGGAATATATAAATACTTATGGTAATATACTAATGGTAATATATACATGTAAACAGGAGTACTAGTGACCAGTAGCAGGATAAATAGATAAATACTAATGGTAACGGCAGTCAGTAATCAATGGACAGCAGAGTAATAGAGTAATACATCTAATCAATAATCATTTTAGCAGCAGTGTAGGTTGTGTGTCTGAGTGGGTAGAGACCTGTGGATGGGCATTGAGTCAGTGTGGATAGTATGTGGGAGAGTCTGTGGGAGAGTCTGTGGGAGAGTCTGTGGGTAAGTCTGTGGGAGAGGGAGTAGTAGTTGTTAGCCATTTAACACTCTTATGGCCAGGGGATAGAAGCTGTTTAGGAGTCTGTTTTGGTGTCTGTTTGTCTGAGCCTTGATGTACCAGTACCACCTGCCGGATGGGAGCATGGAGAACAGTCCATGTCTGGGGTGGCTGGAGTATTTGGACATTTTTCGTACCTTTCTCATATACCGCCCGCATGTATGTCCTGGATGGCTGGGAGCTCACCCCCAGTGATGCGCTGGGCCGTACCGCACCACCCTCTATTAGGGACTTCCGGTCGAGGGCGGTGCAGTTGCCATAACAGACAGTGATACAACCAGTCAGGATGTTCTCGATGGTGCAGCTGTAAAAGTTCCTAAGGATCTGATGGGTCATGCCAAATCATTTCAGCCTCCTGAGGGAGAAAGGCACTGCTGTGCCTTCTTTACGACTGTACTGGTGTGAGAGGACCATGATAAGTCATCAGTGATGTAGACACAGAGGAACTTGAAGCTCTCTCCAGTTGATGTGGATGGGGTGTGCACCAACTCCTGTTTCCTGAAGTCTACAATCATCTCCCCACTGGGCACACACTGGTTGAATCAACGTTTTTACCACGTCATTTCAATGAAAATACGTTGAACCAACGTGGAATAGACATTGAATTGACGTCTGTGCCTTTGTCTTGCTGACGTTGAGGGAGAGGTTGTTGTCATGGCACCACGCTGCCAGGTCTCTGACCTCCTCCCTGTAGGCTGTCTCATCGTTGTTGGTGATCAGGTCTACCACCGTTGTGTGGTCAGCAGACTTCATGATGGAGTTGGGAGTTGTGCGTGGCCACACAGTCGTGGGTAAACAGGGAATACAGGAGGGGGCTAAGCACACACCCCTGGGGGCCCACCGTGTTGAGGGTCAGCTTGACGGATGTGTTGTTGCCTACCCTCACCACCTGGGGCCAGCATGTCAGGAAGTCCAGGATCCAGTTGCAGAGGGAGGTGTTCAGTCCCAGGGTCCCGAGCTTGGTGACGAGCTTGGAAGGCACAATGGTGTTGAACGCTGAGCTGCAGTCGAGGAACAGCATTCTCACATAGGTATTCCTCTTGTCCAGGCGGGAGAGGGCAGTGTGGAGTGGAATTGAGATTGCATCGTCTGTAGATTGTATCGTCTGTAGATCTGTTGGGGCGGTATGCAAATTGGAGTGGGTCTAGGGTGTCTGGGATGATGGAGGTGATGTGCACCTTTCAAAGCACTTTGATTAAAGATGTGAGTGCTGCAGGGTGGTAGTCATGGTGGCATGAAGCCTTAGAGTTCTTGGGAACAGGAATGATGGTGGTCAACTTGAGACGTGGGGATATCAGTCATCTTGGTATTGGCAGATAATTGTCAGGTATGCACGATATATCAGTCATCTTGGTATTGGCAGATAATTGTCAGGTGTGCACGATATATTAGTCATATCAGCAGATGTGTTCAGGTAAAAATATCTCTGCTATAATTAACGGCCCAGATTTTCATATTGGTGCAATTTCTTCTATAGTATGCGTATATGTGTCAGTGTGTGTGTGTGTGTGTGTGTGTGAGAGAGAGAGAGGACGGTGACGGGACACACTCACCACTCCCTCCATGTCCGTCATTTCGGGGGGAGCCAGCATGGACTGCACCATGAACTTGTGTTTGCTTTTCTCGTTGGGGTCGTAGTCGAAAGGCTGCAGCATCACTGGAATACAGGGCACAGCAGAAAGAAACATAAATGTATATACAGAATTGTGTTCCTTAGGCACCAAACTGAAGAAACCTGAAAGAGGAGGGGACTGCCTGGACCTGTCCATTAAGAAATCCTGATTTTCGTTTTGCATTTCAAAATGTTTTGGTTTGCCCTAATGAATACGACCTAGGTCTATGAGCTTTCGGACAGCAGAGCGCCTCTATAGCGGAGTAGTGCATACGTAGGATCCCTTTCCAGACCATAGCAAGGTTGTCTGTAACTTGGTTGTCTCTTGCTTTCAATAACCTATAGTTAAGATTGCAGCTATTTTTGTTGACTCATAAAATCAATTCTTCTTTTTCAGAATCAAGGCAGCAACTTGATTGGTGGGTGAAAAGAAGAAGAAGACTGTTGAAAGTGTTAATGTTCAAAGTCAATTCATGTTAAAGGGATAGTGTGAGGTTTTGCCAATTAGATGTCTCTGCGTGCAGTTTGAAGGAACTAGCGTTAGCGAAATTGCTCCTCTAGCGTTAGCGCAACGACTGCTAGTTAGCAATCACTCGCGAAACTACCTTCAACTTCCTTAAAATGCGTGCTTTTGTCAGAACATTCTGTGTTTCAGTTGAAGTACTCGGATTAGAAGGATATTTAACAAGTATTCAAACGATAAACAATGTGGTACCCAATTCCTTTTATAGTGCATAAAAAGGACCCTGGTCAAAAGTAGTGCACTGTATAGGGAATAGGGTTCCATTTGGGACGCAAACATATTCATGTTACCATGACTGCAAAACATTGACGGATCTACAGAACTCCCCACCGAGGGCAATTTGTCTAATAGCTTCAATGTTTTTCATTTTAACGTTACAAATTGCCCTAATAAAAAACAGCCGTCAGAATATTGTTTTACCCATCGTCTCGTCACATCATCCAATCAAGTGAAAAAAAAAAAAATGAAAAAAAGAAAGTGTTATGTGATGTCATTCCAATGACCAAAAGGCATTTTCAAGCTGTTCCAATGATTTACAATGATCGCTTTCTTATGTCGGCGTCTCAACTGGTCTGGCAGGGAATAAAATGGTTATTGATGGGTCATCTTTTTGCCCTGTTCATTACTATTTTAAGAGGTGCGCGTTCGGACTCAAAAGGTCTGCGCGTTTAACATCAATGCTGACTGTGGGAGTGATTTCGGGGGGAGCTATGGCTAACTTTCATTCAAAACAGATGACCTCTTCATTTCAAAGCCAGTGCTCAGATGTGGCCACTAGGACGGCACATGCCAATTCTCCCCGGAGTACAAAAAAACTTCACAAGTGTTCTTGTGCGCCATTACGGCAATCAAGCAAGTTCAATATTGCAAAGCAAAAACAGACGGCTGAAACAGATTGACATCCTGTTGCAGTCAGCCCCAATTTGCGAAGCCATCCACCGTTGGTCCAAAGGGACAACATTTGAGAATAGAAGGAAGGAAAGCATGTACGTTCTTTGAGGTGCATTAAATAACCTAAAATAAGTCCCAACTTTGTCAAAAAATATTTTTAAAAAACTCACACGCTTTGAATGACATAACTAAACCGATCCTGACAGAGCTCCTTTTAATCCTGTGATATATTATGAATATCTTCATACGGGGGGGGGGGGGATAACATTCCTAATATTCAGAGAAGTTAATTGTAGTCAACGTAGTAAAACAGACACTAATTTGCTTGTTTTTCCTGACTGGTTGTTGATTACATGGAGCCATTAGAAGAGGGAAAGGAATTTGGGAGTGCTTAAATAATTGGGTCCCTGGGGACTAAACTATAGCATTATTATCCATATCAACCTCAAAGTCTGCTAGTGGATCTATTCACAATGGAAAGACAGAGGGAGGCCATGTCTACTACTAAATACCACAAGCTGCGGCTGTGAGAACAAGGGCCCCAAGCACTCTGATAGCTATAGTGATAGGATCGTACCGTAGGCCTATAGGCTACTTCCAGCATTCCAGCAGAGATTAGTCTATATAGAAATTTTGTCTCTGAAAGTGCTCTTAAGCCAAAAGGGGTCCCCTAAGTGGAATAAGCATTGTGCAGAAATTATCTTGTTAGCTTAACTAAGGATTGTGAGGTTTCAAGAGTTAGGAAATTGATTGAATTTAAATGTGTACTGTATAGCAATAATTAATATGCAGTTCAAGAAGAAGAAATATCAAAAACTCTGTAATGTTTCTTAGTGGTTTCTTGAGACACACCGTCTCAATAAACTGAGCATCTCATTAAACTGAGCATCTCAATAAACTGAGCATCTCAATAAACTGAGCATCTCAATAAACTGAGCATCTCAATAAACTGAGCATCTCAATAAACTGAGCATCTCAATAAACTGAGCATCTCAATAAACCGCTGGGGACCGTTACAGAGTTGTGGATATTTCTTCTTTCGAGTAATGGAGTGAGATTATTCATTAAGCAACGTTATCACCCTTGATACTGATCTACGCCTTGATCAGGATACTATTTAGCTGATGCCGTCATTATTGGATCTCTCACAACAATAATATGGAACAACAAATGTGTCATGAGGAAAAAGTCAGCAAAACGTTGGCCAGCCATAAGGAAAGGAATTGCCTAAGCTTTTACTGTAGAATGATGAAATGTCGAGGGCTTAAAAGTATTTCTTGAGACAATTAAGACCTTTGACTTCCACCCAGAGTAGATACATTTGTTGACACAAGGCCCCTCTCTCTGATTTCGAGAGCTCCATGCTACATAGTTTCTAGGGCTGGGACTTGCCAGGGACCTCACGATATGATATTATCACGTTACTTAGGTGCCGATACGATATGTATTGCAATTCTCACGATTCTATATGTATTGCGATTCGATACTGCGACTGTATTGCGATTTGATGTTCCAAACATATTGCTCACTATATGTCTGCTGCAGAGGGACAAGAGAGAGCCACGAGAAAACAGAAAAGCTTTGATCAGTCATGGAAATAAAAGTGCTGAAAACATGTCGCAATATGTAACTGTATTGATTCCCCCATCACTAATATTTTTCCATAGAACAACAGCACAATACCAATCAAGTTGAGCACTTCTGTGGTGTGCGTTTAACATATAACGTTTTGCGGGGGTTAACCTAAGCTTCAGAAGCACCGTGTGTGTCTCCAACTAAGCCTGCAAATGACACTTCAGGGATTTTAGATATCCTTTGGCAAAGTATTCCCTTTCGGTCTAGGCAAAGTGAATTCCCACATTTCCTTTTGTGCTGCTCTGTTTACAATTAGAGGGAAAAACCTCTGTCGGAGGAGGACTGTGGCTGGCTGATCCCGGGGCTTTGTCGCCCACTACAAATTCCCTTGGTGACTCTGAGCGAGGCCTGACACTGAATCCAGCCAGTGAAAATGGAGTCGGTGGTAGCAAATAGCCGCGTTAGTGGAGCCAGGAAACTCTAGCCAGGTCCTGTCCCGGGGTGAGAACACAGCTGTTGGTCTTAGGGGGGCAGAGAGAGAACCCTACCTCTAGCCAACAGAAAGCCTACTGTCTGTATACTATTCTGCAGAACTGCCTGGACTTCTCAACTGATTTCACAAAATACTACTTTACATAAATACATCCTGTACACATTATTGCTACAATGATTTGACTCTAAGTAGTGCAGGGATGTCACAATTTTGGTCTTCACCGAGGTAAAATTGGTTATATTGCCTCGCTGTCACAATCTGCCAAAAAGCACTCCTCTATCCATCATTTTTCAGACATTTCTATGCTCTCAAACTGTCTAGCTGTTTATTAGTGGGCTTGATGTGGTGAAGAGACTGTATACTACCGCAGGCGTTGACATTAAGCTCTCAAAGGCACTTGCCCATCGGGTAAGTACAGTTAATGTTTTACTTGCCCAAAAAATTAAATGGTCTGTTACATGCACAATGGTTAAAATGGCAAGTACCTTTCATTTTAACATTGTTTGAACACATCAGCACACTTATGACAACATTCTAACCCCTTTTCTACATAACTTGCATGCTAATTCAGTAAGGAAGTTCCATTACTTAGACAGACTTCTGTTGAAAAGGGTTAAAGTTACAAGTATGAAACAAAGTAATGATGTAAAACACTCCAACAGGGGCATGAAATTACCTTTTGGGTGAATCAGACATGTTGTCTGGTGAATTAAACAATTATGTGGAGGGGTGTGAACCTTTAAACAAAATTGGGATCCTTAACGTTAAAGGTGCAATATGCAGAAATCACTCTGCCATTTCCAGGTTGCAAAAATTATTTCAGTTTGTTGTGACAAAACAAGCAGTCATTGTGTAGAGAATCATTGTACCATCTAAACCGCTGTGAAATATATTTTCCATAACCAAAAAAATAGTATTTACAGCGGTTTGAAGCTGCTGTACAAAACTGAAAATAAATTACACAGAAACAAAACTTAAGAACGGGAAGCATAGAAATAACGCACATAGAAGAGATCTACTGCTTCTTAGACTTGCTTTCAATGAGAATGACAGATCTATAACTTACATTTCTATGTTAATTTGGTCCGGTCGCCCAAAAAGTTACATATTGCAGCTTTAAGAAAAATCCTTAACCGAAAAACTTTTTTTTGTACAACATTTTAATCACAGTACAGTTATCACAAAACCTATTATTTTCCGTGTTATAGCCTAACTAGATGATAGGCTATAAAGGCCTGGGGAAAGTTGGGTCATTTGAATTAAACCTAGAGAGGAAGAGGCGAATGTTAGGCTACTTTGGCCTCACCTGCTCTTTCTCTTCACTAATGATGCCAGTGTGTGTTCAGTCTCCAGTCTGTTGCCTGTAGAATGTCCTAGCCTATTTATTGATGATATGCCCTGCTTTACTGAAGTTGAGAAACATTGCAAGCCAAGAAATTGCGATTCAGCATTCCATTGCAAGATACAGCTTTGATTGCCGATAGATAGACCTAGTGCTCGGTTCTGGTGG